TGTTTGTGGAGCTGTCGGCTGCGGTGGAATTATGAAAAATAGCAGGCATCGGAGCCGGCCTTCAGCTTCGATTAGGGGAGATGGGACATGACAGGTGCGATCAATACGCAGCCGTTCTATAAAGTGTCAAGTAATGAATCAATTTCGACTAAATTTTCCATTTTTCAGAGGCCGTTCTCCGAGAGAAGAATATCCTCTTTTGTAAAGATATTATTATCGATTTCGGCGGCAATTTGACATCAGGGGTAGTTAATTCCACTCAGAATAAAATTGAAAACACTTGAGAGAGAAAAGAGAGAGGCGAAGAGTGAGACAGAGAGGGAGAGCGGGGGAGGGAGGGCGGGGCTGGGAGAGATGGATGGACAGAGAGACAGAGACAGAGAGAGGGACAGACAGAGAGGCCCAGAGAGACGGGGCAGGGGGGACAGAGATCTGCAGAGACGGGGAGACACGGGGAAGCTTAGACACGCTAGAGCCTGGGGTTATGGAGAGGGCGGGAGACGAGACAGAGACATCCCGAGAGAGGCTCAGAGATAGAGAGACAGGTCGGGCTCAGGAGGCGCAGCAGAGACAAACTGAGCGCGTCTCACAGAGCAGCCCAGAGACTAGAGACTTGCCAGAGATGCACAGAAATGGACAAAGACAGAGATGGAGAAAGAGGCAGGAGACACTGACAGATGGAAGAGACACTACGAGTGAGAGACGGAGGAGCAGAAACTTGGGGAGCTGGGAGAGACACTGAGGGGATCTGAGCGAGAGAGCAGAGAACATGGAAAGGGGAGAAGAGGTGGGGGGAGGGGATGGCAAGGGCTCCCACGAGAGGGGCACGGGCTGAGGGCACACACAGAGATGGGGGTCTGGGGAGAACCTGTGCTGTCCCCCAAAGGCCCTCTGAATGGGGGGGAGTGTGCGCGTCTCGGTCCAGACTTCAGGGCTGGCGGAGGCAGAGTGGGAGTGCGTGTTGCGTGTCTTTGAGCTTCTCCGGGGGGCAAGGGGTCTGATCCAGTGTGCTGGGTTGTCTAGGGCAGGGGTGTGTGTGTGGTCACTGTTGTCTGTGTTCTTGCACGTGGTGACTACTGGAGTCCATCTGTGTGTGCCCCTTTCCTGTGCCCGCACATGCGGTGGGGCCCTGGCCTTGCAGCCCCATGGGTCTCAGCAGCAGGCAGTGGTGACAACATTTCTGGTTAGTGCCTGTCAGTTCCCCAGCTGAAATCTCTATTTATCCCCGAGCAGGTCACAGGCTGCCTGGAAGAGAGGAAAGAGGGGGCTGGAGGATAAGGCCCCTGGATTCTAAGAGAGGGTGGCAGGGGACCGAGTCCTGGGTCTGAGGGAAGAGGGAGCTGGTTGGCACCTCCACTCATGAACGCCGGTCTGCAGAGGCAACAGGGCTGGCGGGCTGGCAGGGAAGCTCCTCAGCCACCCAGCCGGCCTCCCCCCTGGAAAGCCTGTACCTGCTGCCCCCTAGCGGGCACGGAGATTGGGCAGCCAGGGGACAGGGAACTGACAAGTCATGGAACCCAGGGAAGGGAAGGCAGAGGGACAGACCCAAATGGGAGCAGAGACGGAGACACAGAGAGATATGGACAGGGAGACAGGCGGACACATACAGGGACAGAGATGAACAGGGGGCGGAGAAGTAGGCAGACGGGACTGAGACCCTGGTTGAAAGAGAGATGGGGGGAGAGGACATGGAGATGGACCAAGTCAGAGAGGGGCAGGGAAAGATGGGGGACCGAGGGGCAGAGAGTAAGGGTGACAGGGAGGCTGTTGTAGGGCAGAGAGAGCCTGGGCTAGTGAAAAGACTCAGGCTCAGATAGCATGAGAGACTGGGACATGTGGACAGAAGGACAGTGTGACAGAGGGATGGCAGATGTAAAGAAGGGAGAAGAGGGAGACGTACAGCAGAGGAAATGCGGGGAGCAGGCGGGGAGAAGAGAAGACAGGTGGGCAGAGATGCAGGAGGTACAGGCAGACAGAAGGGCAGAGAAAGATGGGCAGACACTCCTGGAGAGACAGCTGTACAGAGGGAAAGAAACAGGCGACACACTCAGAGAGACAGGACGGAGGTGGGCAGAGAAAGACGGGACACATGCGAAAAGACAGGCAGGCAAAGGCAGGTGGACAGAGGCGTACAGAGAAGCCAGGGCCCCAAAAGGCAAATGGACGCCCGAGATGGAGCAGAAAGTGGTATGTGGGGTGAGGCTGGACCCAGGACTAGGGGAGACTGTGGCCGGGGTT